CGTGGCGGGGGGCGCCAAATATAGTAACTTTTTTTGTATTATACTGCTTCTTAACGCGCATTGTTTTTTATTTTTTTTTTATCAAGCTATGAATTTTCCAGTGGGGGGGGCGGCACCTGCTGGGGCACAGAAAAATTTGTGGGGCCTCCAGGCCCCCCCCGTAGTAGCCCCTGAGGCTGACTGAGAGAGAGAAAACAGAGCTTGGAGAGGGAGAGAGAGAGAGAGACGAGAGAGGCAAACTGACTGGGAGTAGAGAGGAGAGAGGCAGACGAGACTCGAGAGAGCCAGAGAGATAGTCGATGGCAGAGACAGGCGAACAGGACAGAACACAACCAGAGAGACACACACGGCAGAGACAGGATAGACGAACAGAGTAGAGAAGGAGAGAGAAATCGCCCCACCAGCTCACGCTAACGCACTGCTATATAGCGACAAGGTGTAGCTCGCAGCTCTCGTCGACGTCTCAGCCGACGTCTAGCTAGGTTCACTCTGCCGATGCTGAACACTTACTTTGTATGCTCGCCGTGACTCCGTGTTTGCACGAACAAGCGATTTCCTATTTACCGACTCGTTAAAAGTTAATCAGTCAGGCCAGAGCCGCAGGCGACCACCATGCAGGTGTGCGAGACGCGGCAGGGATATTCGAAAGCGATACGACCGTTGAAAAGAATTGTCTGTTTCTTACCGGAAGGTGGGTGGGGTGGGCGGGGGCGGCTATATCACAGACTATCTCCATCAGCTTTTCTAAGTCCAGCCAGCCATCCACCAGCCAGCCCAGCAGACAGTAATTGTGGAAACGTCTCTATCCTATTTAGAGTCGTACGTTCCGACTACAACTTTAAAAAATTAAAATTAAAAAATAATGGGGAATTTTTTCACATGATTATTTTATAAGCGCCGCGCAGTTTCGTTGGACTTTGCTAATGTAAATGGCCACTTCAATCGATTGGGGTGAAAATTCCTTATAATTTCACGTCACAAAACTATCATTAAAAGCAACAACAACAAAATTAAGTGTTAGAATTGAATCGTAAAGTGTCAATTGTCTACACTATAAAAAGTTCAGTTAGGGACAGCACCTTAAGTGTAAATTTCAAGTGTTAGAATATTTTACACCAATGAAGTGTTAGTAATATTAACACCTCGTTGGTAAATATTAACTCGTTTTGGACTAAAACGAGTAAGTACTGTAGTGTTAAATGTAAACACTGACTTTACACACACACACAAGTACAAACAGTCACCCTATCCCTATCCCAAACCTAACCAAACCTATCCCTAACCTAACCTAACCCTAACAAGAACTATAAACCGACTCGGCTATCTTATATACCCATTGTCATAGTACCCAATTAATCTATGGTGTATAACCTTTTGCTTTCAATATTTTGCATCTGAACTGCACAATCAATCCCAACCAACTGGTGTAGGCTAGCTGGCACAATAATGTTCATTTTCATACTTCAAATCCGAGTGTTTTCTAGCTCATCAAGAAATCTTAATCGTGAATTAAATCGTAAAAGTGAGAGCAGGGAATGGAGCTCTTATAAGAGATTGGGGAGCTCAGCTTGACACATAATAGTGTAAAGTTTTGACACTAAAGAAAGTGTCACTGTTTTAACACTTTATGATTACATACCTGACACCTGTATTACTTGGAGTGACGCTTCAAGTGTTATATATAATCTAACACTCGATAAGTGTAACTAGTTTTACACTTTAGTTTTTTGAGTGAAATGTGTTGAATCATAAATGAGCAAAGGAATGACGTGTTTATATGTTGTATATTGACACTTGGGGTATTTCATAGC